AGTTTTAAATTTTTCTCCCCCCTTCCTTCCCACTACCCTCCCCAAGATGGGGCACAATCTGATACGGGCTATATAGATACATTCCTATTAAACATATTTTCACATTAGTCATGTTGTAAGGAAGAATTAGAACCAATAGGAGGAACCACAAGAAAGAGAAAACAAAACAAAACAGAAGAGCAAATAGTATGCTTCAATCTGCATTCAAATTCCATAGTTCTTTCTTTGGATGTGACCTTTGGAGATGTCTTAAATCCTTGTGTAGCTGAGAAGGGCTGAATCTATCAACGTTAATCATAGTACAACGTGGCTGTTGCTGTTCTACAGAACTTTAAAGTTTATGAAGTGATTTCCTTAAAACGACTTGTGACATACCTAATGTATGTATTATTTAGCCCTATTTTACAGATGAGAAAACAGAGGCTCAGAGAGGTGATTGGTCATGAAGCTAATAATGGCAGAGCTAGGACTTGGAGATCCTAGTCTCCTGACTTAAAACCATTCCTCTTTCCAATATGCCATGCTTGAATTGGCTTAGATGATGCCATGCCAACCTTTCAGCCTGGACCCACTGGGTTTCTTTGTTAAAATCAAACAGCTACCAACTCTTTCCTGGTTCTTTCCTTTCCCCCTCACTCCCCTTTCCCCATCTCCAACCAACATCTGCAGAGGTATAAATCAGTTTTCAATTTGAGATTTTCTCTGGGAGATAGCTCAGATCCCACTTCCTATTAGAGGACACGAAAGCCATCTTGGCTGCAATTTCTAGCAACCTGTTGATGACCAGGCTGACTAGGTAGGTATCCCCTTCCTCTCCTTAGTTGCTACATGAATGTCCCTCCCAAAGCCCCAAGTTCAAGGACCATGACCTTGCTGTACAGAGGAGTACTACTCTTTAGTTAAAGACAGTGTGGTATGATGGAATGAGAATGAATTTTGGCAGTCAGAGAAAGTGGGTTCAAACTCTACTTTGCTACTTACTATTTGACTTGAGGCAAATCACTTTATTTCTCTGAGCCTCAGTCATCTATCTGTAAAATATGGGGGTTGGTTTACTCTATAGCTGTGGAAGTCCTTTCCAACACAAATCCTTTGATGTGTTTTCTATGAATATTGCCTTATACCCTAGCCACAGTGAATGTAGCACTGTCATTTCTTATAATACTTATTGTCCAGACCACTCATAGGATTTAGAGATGGAAGGGATGATATATATCTAATGTAGCCACTTCATTTTTGGAGACGATGATTTTGGCCAGGGTCCTACAGTAAGATGTAGAATGGAGATTTGCTATCTTACCCTAAAGAAAATGGTGATGGTGGGGGAAAGGGGACAAGAGAACAGGAGGATGATAGAGGGAGGGCAGATTGGGGGAGGGGGTAATGAGAAGCAAACACTTCTAAGGAGGGACAAGGTCAAAAGAGAGAATAGAATAAATGTGGGGCAGGATAGGATGAAGGGAAATATATGTAGTTTTTCACAACATGACTACTTTGGAAGTGTTTTGCATGACTATACACGTATAACCTGGATTGAGTTGCTTGCTTCTCAATGAGGGTGGGTGGGGAGGGAGGAAGGGAGGAAGGGAGAAAATTTGGAACCCAAAATTTTAAAAACAAAGGTTAAAAAAATTTTTTGTTTTCACATGCAACTGGTAAATAAGATACACAGGCAATGGGGTATAGAAATCTATCTTGCCCTGTAGGAAAATTGAAGGGGAAGGGGATAAGAGAAGGGGGGGGGGGAGAGATAGAAGGGAGGGCAGATTAAGGATATTCAGAATTCGTGCCATCTTGGGTTGGGGGGAGGGACGAGATGGGGAAAAAATTGGAACTCAAAATCTTGTGGAAGTGAATGTTGAAAACTGAAAAGAAATAAATTAATTTAAAAGAAAAAGAAAGGAGATTTGAACTCAAATCTTCAGACTTCAGACCTAGTGCCTTTTCTCCATACACTACACACATACCCTCTATTGTTTCACTTTGTCAGTTATCTTTTCACATTTGTGTATAGTGATTTCTTGGTTAGATTGTAAGCTCCTTGAGGGCAGGGAATACAACTTGCATTTCTTTATATCCTCCACACCACGTTACACATAATAGGAGGTCAATAAATATTGATTGACTGAAATTAAGACAGAAATTGCAAATACCTTATTCTTATCCAATCTTCCTGCTTTGTTCATAGGAATGAAGTTTAGTCGTTGATCTGGCCTGTCGGGGAGTAGGTAGGAGGGGATTGCTCCTAGCTGTGGAGGGGAAACACCTGGGGCTTTATTGAGCAAAAAGCAGCATCCTCAGTTCTCTCTCCCTCTGTTAAGGAGGTCAGGCATATTGGTATCCTGCTCCGCCTGCTGGTAGAGGTAGCTCGTGGGCCTGGTGATAGATTCTTATGCTGGGATGAATGGAGCAATTGTACTCTTGATGTAGAAAAGATGAGAGATAGGAAAAATGTTTCAGGTGGTAATAACTTGGAGATGAAGCATTTCACTGTGTCAACAAACAGTGAGTTATTGGCCCTGGCCCTGGCTTTGATGGTCCTGCGAGTATTTGTGAGTTTCAGAAATGCTGGGGCTATGTTCTTGGCACACATAGGCTTGGCCTGGATGAAAGTCTCCCATCTTGCCTCCCCCCCCCCCCCACCTCCCCTCCTCCTCCAACCACTTATCTACCACCTGGAAGAATTCTGAACTCACTTTCTTGAAGACAAAGGCTGTTAACAAAATCTCAGTAGGTGAAGTCCCTGGCTGGAAAAAAAATCATGTTACCATAAAGAGAGCTGCTGGGGTGAAGGCTTGCCCCCTCAAATGCCACCTACTAGCTGTATGATCGAGGATAAGCCAATTCAGCTGTATGAGCCTCACTTTCTTCACTTGTAAGATGGGGATAATGATATTTGCTCTGTCAATCTCACACCTTTGTTATAAGGCTCAAATGAGACAAAGGCTCTGTAAAGCCTATAAAAATAGCTAATAGCTCAATTCAACAAACATTTATTAGGTATCTCTTCTATGTGTAAGGCCCTGAGGATACAAAGATACAACACAAGCCCTGCTTATAATGTTTAAGAAGCTTATAGTCTAATGAAGGGGACAAAAATAATTATGATACAAATGCTGGGTGGCAAAGTAGATAGAGCACTAGGCTTGGAATCGGAAAGATTCATCTTCCTGAGTTCAAATCTGGCCTCAGATACTTCCTAGCTGTGTGATCCTGGGCAAGTCACTTAACCGTCTTTGCCTCAGTTTCCTCATATGTAAAATGAGCTGGAGAAGGAAATAGCAAACCATTCCAGTGTCTTTGCGGAGAAAACCCAAAATAGGGTCACGAAGCGACCAAACGACTCACCAACAACGGGGACTGGCCATTTAAAGCTCAGTGCTTAGCATGGTCAGCATGATGTGCTCCTTTCCAGGGATGTAAGAGAGTAAAGTGGTATTCTATCTCTGTTTCCAGTGAAGAGAGAACCTTTTTGATTAGCTGGCAAGAACTCTGCATAAAAAACCCCACTAAATAGCAAAATTACATCTTCTTTCCTGACTGCAGGAGCCCTCTTGCAGTCACACATCTTCCAGGTGTGTGAGGGGGCCACGGGCCCTTTCTCATTGGGTTTGGGGTTCACATAGCCCTACTATTTTTTCTGCCATTGGTGCATATATTCTTTCCTGACTTTGGGAAGAGTATTAGAGGTAGCTAGGATTTTTATGAGCTTTGAAAGATTAGAAGAATGAGCCTGCAGAGGTCTAGGGACTAGACCAGACTTTGGTAGCAGCTGGGCCCAGTGAGCTGGCTCAGCACCAAGTACAGACCTATTTGACCCAGCTCAGCAATTTATCAACTCTACAGTAGCTGAGACGTTGTTGTTTCCAAGCAAGGTGACTTTGTCCATCAGCTATTGCATTTAAAAGTGAATTTAGTGGGATGAACACTTTATAGCAACCATTGCAAGTTTGAGCTCACTCTGCCCAGGGACCAAGGTAGTATAGGGGAGGATATGTACTCATTATTAAGCTGACCAATAATTTAACTATAACTAGTGATTAATATGGGGTAGAACACAATGGAATGATGGCATAAGCCAATAGCTTAGAAACTCCAAACCCTTAGGGTTACTTCTGGGGCCCTGAGGGGGAGATGTCATGCTCCAGGAACCTGAATTGGAAAAGACCCCCAGAGCTTATACATAAGTTATACAAAGTAGTATGTGATAAGGCCCACAGCGAGGTCAAAGTTTAATGTGGATTTGTACAGAGTACTCAGAGCTCCTTTGGAAACTCCTAGAGACTCTAAGTGAGGAGTCATTTTATTCTTGGCGCCTCCAAAAGTTTCCCGGGAAGCACAGGGTGCATACTCTGTACAAAGCTACATTAGCATCTGTATGAGCAAAGTTCTAGGAAAAATTTGAAGAGGGAAGAGTGATTACTTTCACCTGGGGATGAGTGGTCAGGAAATAACAATAACAGCATTTACATAATACTTTGTATTTTACAAATTTTACAAATGTTATTTTGTAGATAGAAGGGAGGGCAGATTAGGGGTATTCAGAACGCATGCCATCTTGGGGTTGGGGGAGGGAAGAGATGGGGAGAAAATTTGGAACTCAAAATCTTGTGGAAGTGAATGTTGAAAACTAAAAAGAAATATATTAATTTTTTTAAAAATGGAGATTTGAACTCAAATCTTCAAACTTCAAACCTAGTGCCTTTTCTCAATATACTACACACATACCCTTTATTGTTTCACTTTGTCAGTTATCTTTTCACATTTGTGTATAGTGGTTTCTAGATTAGATTGTAAGCTCCTTGAGGGCAGGGAATACAACTTATATTTCTTTATATCCTCCACACCACGTTACACATGATGTTTAAGAAGCTTATAGTCTAATGAAGGGAACAAAAATAATTATTTACAAATATTATTTCATTTTATTCTCACAACAACCCTGGAAGGAATAATGAGTAAACTGAGACATAAAATGGTTAAGTGACTTACCCAGGGATGCAGAACGGAAGCCAAATTTGAATTCTAGTCTTACTGAGTCCAAGGTGTCATCTGGCGTAAAGATTTGAAGGAGAGAACTATTATTATTGTTGTTGTTGTTATTCACTCCGACTCAGGCTCACTGTCCAAATCTCTTTATATCTATCTTTGTTCCTTTTATTTCATGAGATGGATACTCTTCAAAAGGCTTCTTTAATCAATCAATCAATCAATCAATCAAAATCAATAAACATTCAAATAAACATTCATTAAGTTACTATTACATGCCAAGTGTGCTAAGCCTTTGAGAGGAAGATCACATCTTATTTGCTCATTGGAGTTCAAGAGGGCAGTCAGGGGTTCCAAATCATGCCCCACAGACCCAACCCAGCTGTGGTCTCTGGGTAGGCAAGGTTAACAAAATGTTTGCTCAGTAAAGTTGGTACTCTAGCTTGCAGTGGGGAGAGAGGTTGGTGGAAGGTGGGGTGGGTTGTGTGCTAACCATCAAGCAGAATATGACAGGGTGCAAATATAAGGCTGTTCTTTGTCATGGCATCTGATAATGGGGTGAGATCCAGCATGGTGGGAAAAACCTGAGAGGCCACTCAGCTGTGAGGAGGGAGAGTCAGAGACAAAACCAGAGACGAAACACCACTCACTTGTAGGCATGACTTTGGTGAGTCACTATTACCTCTCTGAGTCTTGGTTGTTTTCCTCACCCGTGAAATGGGCATAACAGTACTGCACTGTCTAACTCAGAGGGTTAGCAAACTCAGGTGAGCTTTGGAAACTGGGTGCTGGGAGGACATCTGAACTGGAGCCCATCTTAGGGGAAAAAATGGCTTCCCTCTGAACCCCTAAAGTATTAGAATCTACTTCTGACTTATCTTAGGCTTTGTAAGAGAAATTCCCAGAGGGAAAATGTCTAACCCTTCTAAGGTACTGGGAAAAACAAGTGGCCCTTAGACTTGGAGCTACACTGCTAAGAGACCCTGTCCTTCTTAGGATGGTTAGTCTCTAAGTGGCCCCTGATTGACATCCTTGCCGCAGAGCAAGCCATGGCAAAAAGTCTCCTCCCTTAGTGGGGTTGGGGATGAGGAGAGAGGGGGAGGGGAGGGGAAGCTCAGAAACAGCAGCTGTAATTAAAGTCTTTTTTTACCCTGCTCTTTCCCCCAGTGAGGGGTTATTCTTGGCGCTTGGCATGGATGTGTGGCAGGAGGAAGAGGCAGGGAGGGAGGGGCAGGGTGTGAGTAAAAGGCTGCTTTTGACCTCACTAGGCCTCCTGGGTTGCTGGATTTGGAATAGTTTTCCAGTTGGGGAAAAGGGTTTCTTTAGTACCCTCAGCAGGTGGGTCACACAGCCTACCTCTGAGAGGTGGGTCACAGCAGGTGGGTCACAGCCTACCTCTGAGGTAGGTCACAGCCACAGCTAGTAAGTAGCGCCTTTCAACCTCCTGTTCCCAGACTCCATCACCTTCTTGAGAGGAAGGAGCCAGTCAAAGAATTTAGCATTTGCTGGCTAATTTGGTCAAATGTAAGCTCCAAGAGGCTTTTTCTTTGAATCTCTGGCCCGGTTGTGAACAAATTCTTGAAAGAAGAGCGCTCAGGCTGTGGAGGTCTTTTGTGAAACTGGGGAGTGAATTAGATGTTAAGCTAAATTAACCATTTGAGTGGGGCTTGCTCATGGTTTTGCTCTTGAAGACTAAGTGAGCAGAATGAAAGTTATTTCAGTTCCTATCAAATGGAAAGACTTCAAATATGGGCCCAGAGGGGTCCCCGCACTTGGGTAGCTATTGTTAGAGGTCCAGGCTAGCTAAATTCAGAGGATTCATAACTGGCAGGCTGGCCACAAGATGATGAGCTCTGTGACCAGTGTAAGTCATCAAACTGATCTTTAGAGGTATGGAGAGACCATTGGTTTTACTGTGTGTGCTGGTCTACCATAACAACTTTTTTTTTGGACTGCTTGAGGAACTCCAGGGTTCCCAGGGAACTGCTTTGAGATCTTGTGGCTCTAGGGTATCTCAAGTACATGAAGCAGTGAACCACCTGGCTCAGTGGCCACACCCAGTGTATACTTGCCAACTATCAATGCAACTAGAAACAACTAAGTTTATTTCATAGCAAATTTCATTCAAACCTAAATCTAGAAATGAGGCCTGTGTCCCAGAGCCATAGCTATCAATCTTTGTACTTAGGATAAGCTACATAAAATGTATCCTGTCAAGGAGTCTGGGGGCAGGGCTGAGATTGATGCACCAAGGAGGAGTTTATTCGGGGTGTGAAGCCTGTACCATCTAGTGGCTTCCTATTTTAGCTTTTTTATTTTAAATTAAATTAAATTTTAAACTATTTTAAACTATTATTTAATTATGTTCCTATTTTAACTATTCTTGTTAATTAAGCTCTGTTGTTTCTAAGCTACTTAAGGACTTTTTTTTTTAGGCAACTTGGGTTAAGTGACTTGCCCAGGGTCACACAGCTAGTAAGCGTGAAGTGTTTGGTCTGAGGCTGGATTTGAACTCAGGTCTTCCTGACTTCAGGGCCGATGCTCTATCCACTGAGCCACATAGCTGCCCCAACTGAAGGACTTTTAAATGCTGTCTGTGTCCTCTAAGTTTTGGCAACCTGAGACAAAACCCTAGGCACTCCACTCTAGTTCTTGTTCAGTCATTTTTTCAGTAGTGTCTGACTCTTCATGACCCAATTTGAGGTTTTCCTGGCAAAGATACGAGAGTGGTTTGCCATTTCCTTCTCCAGCTCATTTTACAGATAAGGAAACTGAGGCAAATAGAGTTAAGTGACTTGCTCAGGGTCTCGAAGCTAGTGTCTGAGGCCAGATTTGAACTCAGGAAGATGAGTCTTCTTGATTCCAGGCCCTGTGCTCTGTGCACTATGGCACCACCTAGCTGCTCCCAGTGAAGCCCTCCATTCTAGTTATACCCAGTTATGTCTAAACTACATGCTGGATTCAAGGTTTTTCACTATGTGACCTACCAGGTCCCCTCTCAGGAATATCTACTAAGGACTGCATTCTAGTCTTGGAAAGTTTCATCTCATTCAATTCAGCAAGCAATTATCACAGCTCCCTTCCATGAACAAAGATATCATTTTAACTAGGATACAGTTATCCCTTCCACATCGTGACTTTCTCTGTCACAATTTTGATAAATCGCAGGTTGGCATAAGAAATTAAATGGAAATTTTTGGGGAATTTTGCAGAAGCTACAGATGATGCACGAAGGTCAGTAGACAGCAAAGAAAAACTTCAGAAACTCAGAAATGCACAAAATATATGTATGGTTGTATGATATCAACATATTTTATCTTTTAATAGCATAAATATACTCAATTTCTTCTCTGTTATGAAGGGAGGACCAAAAAATTTTACTTGTATTTCTTAGATCGTGAGGGCACCATGCTCCTAAGCTCCAAGGTGTGGAAGGGCTAACTGTATAAGCCACCATCCTTTCTTGTCTAGAGTTTTCAATCTATTAAAAGAGATGGTGTTTAGACAATATAAAATAAACATGGTAAGTGTATATGAGAAAGAGGAACAGAATACCAAACCCTGCCAACCATCTTTGCAACAAGAAACAACTGTTTGTTTTAATTAATTAGTCATCAATGGAGCAACAAGCATTTATTAAGTTCCAACTAGGTACTAGGTTCTGTGCTAATCTTTGAGGTACAAAGGCAAAAACCCTTTACAAAGGTAAAAAAAAAGTCCTTGCTTTACAAAAGGCTTTTTTTTACCTTTAAAGGCAAAAACCAAACGTGTTTGTCTGCAAGCATAATTCTAATGAAGGAGATAACATAAAGTATGCATATAATATATACCAAGTGAATAGAAGGCTGTTGGAGATAGGCAAGGCCTTAACAGCTGGGGAATCATGAAAGGCTTGATGCAGAAGGTAGAAAAAAACAGAATATTGAAGAATGTGAATTCCAAGAAGTTAAAGTGAGGAATGGGGAACAGCCAGGGCAAATTCATGGAGCCTAGGAAAGAAATCTCATTATATACATATGTAAGGAATCTCTATGTATTCATAGGCTAGTATGGCTGGATTGTAGAGATCATATAGGGGAGAAAATGGGTAAAAAGCCTGGAAAGGTAGGAAAGGGTCAGGCTGTAAAGAGCTTTAAATGTTCATATTTGATCCTAGAGGTAAGAGAGAGCCGCTGGAATTTATTCAGTAGGTGAGGGACACACACAGACTTACACTTGAAGAATCACTTTGACAGCTGAAGATATATTGGAGTAGGAAGAGCTGAGAGGTAATAGTCAAGGTGAGAGGAGATGAGGGTCTGAACAAGAATGATGGCTGTGTGATCCGAGAGATAAAGGGGTGTATGTGAGATATGTTGGGGGAGGTGGAAATGAGAAGATCTGGCAATTGATGGGACCTGCGTGATGAGTGAGGGTGAGGAATCAGGAAAGACACTGAGGTTGTGAAGATGAGTGAATGAATAAACAGGTCTTTCTTGCCCTAGTGCTTTCTCCACTAAATCTACCTTGCATCTACTCTGTATATATCTTGTATATAATTATTTACTCACATGGCGGCTCTCCTATTTGAATGTAAGCTCCTTGAGTGCAGAGGCTGTTTTTGCTTTTCCTTCCTCTTCCAGAATTTAGCACAAGTGCTTAATAAATAAATGCTTGTTGATTGATTGACTGGAAGAAAGGTGTATGTTACTTCTGAATTTATTCTCTCCCCTTATAAATAAATCTTATAAAACATTCCAGAGTGGTGGCAGGGGGGAAGGGAAAGAGAGATAAGAGTCAGAGAATTTGGGAATGGTTTAGGGCTAGTGATCAGAGGGTGACAGATTCTTGAGGGCAGTGGGCTCTGAGCATTAAGAAAGGGATTAAAAATATTTAGAAATTTTAATAGAGGGAATCTATGGCTAAGACTGATCTCCTAGGGTAGCATGGAGAGTGATCTCATCCCTAAGGAGCTGAAGATATGAGCATTGTACATCTGATGGTCTCTCAGGTAGGTTAAGGAAGAAGCAGAGGGAAAACCAGTATAGTGGGATCAGGGAGAGATTTTCTCAACAAAATAGAGC